GATCCCTGGTACTGCATACCATATAGGTCCTGGGACCCTAGGCACACCATGCCAACCACTGAAACAAAGTGTGGTGCATGCCTGTAATCCCAGTGCCAGGGAGGCTGAGATAGGAGGATCACTACAAGTCCAAGCTGCATAGTGAGATGCTGTACCAATTAAATAAATACAAGATTTTTTTTTAAATTTTAGAAAAAGAATTTAAAAAAATCAGACCCCCCAAATTCAAAGTCCAACCCAAAAATGAGCATCTGAGATGAATGCACACTTTCCAGGAGAAGAAATACAAAAGGCAAATAAATATATGAAAAAATGTTCAACATCATTTGAGAAATGCAAAATTAAAATAATCCTGAGAGTTTATTTCACCCCAGAAAGAATGGCTATCATCAAGAAGTCAAACAATAACAAATGGTAGAGGGGTTGTGGGGATAAAGGAACTCTTTTCCACTGCTGGTGAGAGTGGAGACTGGTACAACCACTATGGAAATCAATGTGGAGATGCCTCAAAAAAGCTAGAATTAGAAGTCCCATTCAAGCCACTTGCCCCTTCTGGGTATTTTTTCCAAAATAACAAAACAACCATAGTAATATATATGCACCCATGTTTACAGCAGGGCAATTTGTCATAGCTAAATCTTAGAAACTACCCAAATGTTCATCAACTGAGGAATAGATAAAAATGATGCGGCATTTTTATACAATGGAGTATTACTCAGCTATAAAATATAAAAACCTAAAATTGAGACAATTATAGGTAAATAGATGTAACTAGAGACCATACTCGTAAGTGAAATAAATCAGACCTGCTTGTACAAATAGCATACTGTCTCCCTAGTGCAAGAATCTAGAACAGTAAATAAAATCTGAAAGGTACAATAAATACGGTGAAAGGGAAAGAATTTGTTCAATGGGAAGGAACAACTGGGATAAGGAAAAGGACAAAAGAAAGAAAGGCAAAAAGATATATTTATGTATATATACAGCATAGCTTGGATAACTGTACTGCTGATTTCTCCTGGTCTATTGAAAGGAGCAGTTAATGCTTAATCTTTCTCTTTTTAATTTCTTGTAACTTTTTCTTGACAACTTGCATGCTTATATCTATAGTAACCTAAACAACTAATCTGAAGACAACCTTATGCAACGTAACAACCATTGTTGAATTCCTATTATTTTGTTCAGTGAAACTGTGTAATTTTTTATTCTTTTTTTAAAAAAAAAACAAGGAAAAACTTTCTTCCTCCAGCCTTTTTTTTTTTTAAATCTTTTATTTATTTACTTGGTAGAGGGTCTTGCTACGCAGCTCAGATTCATAGTGATCCTTCTGTCTTAGCCTCCCTAGCACTGGGATTACAGGCATGCATCACCATACCTGGATTCAGTGGCTGGCACAGTGAGTGCCCAGGGTTTCAGGGCTGGCACAGTATGCCGTACCAGGAAGAGAACCCAGATACTTGCATTGCCAGGCAGTCACTTAGATTACCAAGCTATTTCTCTAGTCCTCCAGCTCTGTTTCTAATCTCTTTGTCTCTGTTTATTTCTCCATTTTTTCCCATTCCCCCCTTAAATTTACTCTCCTGAGGTTAAAATCACTATATTGAGGGCATATTTACTGTATATAATTTTCTGATTTTAGATTTTGTTATATAATTAAAAAATCTAGTTCACTGGGTTAAAGGTATCAAGTGAATATTTACCACAGTTTGTCATTTTCTAGGCTGTGTTTGATGCTATTACTGTTGCTGACTGGACTATATGAGCCAAGGTGGCAAACATAATTGTTCTAATCCATTGTTCTTCCTCATGTGCCAAGAGTGAGATGGCCTACTGGTCATAAAAATATTATAGGCCAGTGCCAAAGTACCAAGGGGTAAGCCAATTAGGCATCAACTTCTCATCCCCTATGACACATAGAGGTAGGAGCTTCCAATACAATCAAAACCCAAAAGCTAGCTATACTTGGGAGACATCTCTGAGAAGCAGTCATTTCCTAAAGGTTCTAAACACTGCAATAAAGCTACTTGCCAAAGGTAATTTACAAGAACCAATACAAAAATTAAACTGAAAAAAATGCAAAAGAAAAATATACTTAAGCAAGATACCATCCCAGCCTTCCAATTCAACAAAGGCAAACCCAGAGAGCAATGAGGGGAAACAATCTGAAAGCCACCCACCCAGACTTTCTGAAGTGGAAACAATGAAAGTAACAAAGCAGATGAATGGGGCTCTAGGAAAAGTCAAATCAGAAATAATTTCTCAGACAACTAAAGAGATGGTAGACATAATGAAAGACTTAGGAACACTAGATCAGATACAGATTGTAAAAAATAGAGCTTAGGAAAATGTTGGAAACCATGAATAGCCAATATTGGGGGAAAATGTAATACATAAAATCATAGTCAAACAAATATTCAGGAGATTAAAAATTCCATTGAAAGTATATGCAGCAGAATGAGTCAATAGGAGAACACAATATCAGATATAAAAGACAAGATTGAAGATATCAATCATGAAAAGAAAGATTTCTTAAGAATAGGAAAGAACCATGAAAAATCAATCCAATAGCTGCTAGATGATGCAAAGAAGAATAAATAACAAGGTTGATCTGAGTCAATTAAAAAGCAGGAGATTGCACAAAGTACATTAAAAAAAAAAACTTCCAGAGATATGATGGAAAAAAAAAAAAACTTCCCTAGCAGGGAAAAAATGTCACATATAGATAAATTAAGCATATACAACTCAAATTATGATCAAAGGAACATAATAATTAATATTCAGATTCAACACAAGAACAGAATATTAAAAGCTGATAGAAAAAAAGAAATGTTACCCATAAAGAAAGGCCCATAGAATCTGATTTAATGCAAATTCTGTTAAAATACCAGTAGCATATCTTACAGAATTAGAGAAAACAATCTTAAAATTCCTCAGGAGAGACCTAGTATAAGTATTGCAAATTATACTTTTTACCTCTGTTTCTCTATAGCCTGTGAGTTAAGAAAGGTTTTCATATTTTTAAGGATTGGAAAAAGATGGTGGTAGGGAAGTTACTAAAAAGAGGAGCAGGGGCCAGCGAGACAGCCCAGCAGACTAAACTACCTATTTAGGCATGCACAGGGACCATGGTTCAATCCCCAGCACCACATGCTGTGAGTCCAAGCTGCATAGTGAGATCCTGTACCAAATATATTACATAGATAAATGAAAAGAGAAGGAAAAAGGAAAAGAATATGCAATAGACTGTTTTATACTTGTGAAATCTAAAAACAAACTCGTAGTACTAGTATTAAGTCTGTGCACAGTACTGTGCTAAATGAAACTCCACAAAGTAAAGACTGCCTAAATTTGGTGTCTGGACACTTACAGAAATAGAGGATATGCAAATAGTCTCAATATACTGAGGTGTTAGTTATAAAGGAAGTTAAAGGTAAACCCCAACATTGTATCACTCTAAACACACCTGAGTGGCTAAAATGAAAGAGATAATGTGAAGTGTTACAAGCAGGGGGAGGAAGCAATTCTCATACACTACTAATGGAAGTGCAAGTTAACATAATCAATCTGAAACACTTTATGGTAGTGTATAGTATAAATACATATCTGCATAGCCTGTAACACAGCCATTTCACTAGTAGAATATATCCAACAGAAATGCAAACCTAGGGGCCAGGGAAATGGCTCAGTTAAGAGTTTCCCTGGCAAGTGCAAGGGCCTGGGTTCAATCCTCAGCTCTGCCAAAAGAAGAAAAAGAATAGACATGCAAACTTAAATTTATCCAAGTACTTCTAAAACCAACTGGTAATACTTTCTTTACTAAAGTATTTACTAAAGTTCATAGTGAAATACTGGGTATGATGAGAAATAACAAACTGTTACATAACTGGTATAAATCTCACAAATACAACATCGAACTCAAATCAAACACAGAGATCCGTATATTGTATGAGTCTTTCAATATGAAGTCAATAATAGGCAAAAGTCATTAATAACATTATAAGTCATGATAAAGATTAGAAACCCTGGTCAAAGTGTGGCTTTCGGGACACAAGTGCTTTCTTATCTGTATGCTGCATTCATGTGTATGCACACTTGTAAAAACTCTATCAACTGTACCCACATGATTCGGGCACTTTACTGTATGTATGTTATACTTTTCAATTAATACAAGACAAAGATCTCTATAATTCCCTTGAAAGAAATTTGTACACATCTCCCATTCATTTTGTGATTCGCTGTTATTACTTCTTTCCAGTGAGGTAACTTAATTCTTTCTACCTCGCATAGAAAAGTCACCTTTGCTTCAATTAAGTTTATTGACACTAATACATAATGTGCAATGATTACGTACTGTCATTTTAGCACAGCTCTGAGAACCCAAAGACAAACTTCGCTAACCCAGTATCCTGTGATATCCGTTAAAGCTATGTGTGGAAACAAGAAAAAAGACCTCCTTGAAATGCAGTAAGACAGGCTTACATCTGTCTACTGCCACTGCGATTTAACTTGCATAAAACGCTCAAAGGAGCTTTTCAGAAAGTCTGCTCTCCTGATAAATTGTTTCTACCGTCCTCGTCTAATCTTGTGACAAGATAGAGCGGTCTTGTGTTCGTCCAGCTCCTTCCTCCCACCCACAGTTTAAAGTACTCCGCAAACGCTGTTGGGTGGTGTAGTGTCACCTTCCAGTGGGAGAAATGCGGGCCCTGGGACTGGGGCGCTGTGGACCAAAACAATTCTAACAGAACTCTAAGAAAACACCGCACTCTGGCTCACAATTGCGAGAACTGAAATACAAAACGATAGAGCGAAGGGCGCAAGGTCCATCAGAGCGTGAACCAGAGCTGGAACCTTGTAAGTCGCGGGCACTAACGTGAAGAAACAAAACCCCCACACTTTTAAACAACTATTCAGCTGTTGAACTCCTCCAACAGCAAAGAGCTAGCGGTGCCAAACCCAGGCCCAGGAAGCGCGGTCTGTCCCGAGGCCCCCAGGGCGCTGACCTTCGAGGGTGTCCGTCAGCCCTGCCCACGCGGGGCCGGCACTGCCCGGGGCTGGGGCCGCGCGGCCGCTTCAGCTTCTCGGAGGACGTTCGGCCGGAAACCCCGAGGCGCTCCAAGCCGGCTCTTCGCGGGTCGCCCAAAGTCCCCGAGCCCGTTTACCTGGGACGCGCCTGGCTCCGCCCCCGGAGCCTCTAGGCGCGCTCGCCGGGAGTTTCGCAGGCCCGCGGCGCCACCACCGCGTCAGCCAATCGCCGCCCGCTCGGAGCCTCCGGCGGGCACGCGCGTGCCCAGAAGGCGGGGCGCGGCGAGGCGCGGGCGCGAGAGGGGCGGGGCCTCGGGGAGCTCGGCGGTGCGCTTCGGGCATGCGCGAGCAGCGAGGCGGCCGCGGGCGGGGCCTCGGGCGAGCGAGGGAATTTGGAAAGTCGGCTCAGTACCCGGGAAGCGCGAAGGCAGCGAGCCGCGGCGGCGGGGTCCGGGCTCGCGGCGGCGGCGGCGGCGGCGCGCTCCAGAAGGGCCAGAGTGAGCAGGCGAGACCTCACCTGCTGAGAGGAGGGAAAACGCGTGATTTGAAACGAAGCTTGAGGGCTTTACCTCAGCGTGTGAGTCTGCACTTAACTTAGCGGAACACTGTGAGAGATTGTGTGTGTGTGTGTGTGTGTGTGTGTGTGTGTGTGTGTGCTTCAGGGTGCGAGGGAATAGGGCATCCAGGAAAAGAGAAAACAGCGTGTTGTGCAGTGAGGCGTGAATGAAAAGGACACCCGCAATGAAAAGTTACACCTCAGTCCTAAGCCAAAGATTTCTGACTAAGACCCTGGAGCTGGTGACTTTTTTTTACTAAAGTACTGGGAGGATATCTGTGTTCTTATGTAGCATGTGTGAAATCTTAAAGGCCTTCCAGAAATAAACAAAAATACCCCCTTCCCTGCAGAAGCAAGAAATAGCCAAGAAAATATGTCGAAGTACAATAGGCTGGTTTAATTAATTGCTAGTAACTCAAATGTATTTTTCTTGTTCCACAGACTAGTATTGCTCTATGTCACTTGCACTCCTGTTACTTATTATTTAGACATCAAGTATTTATTGAGGACATGATACATGCAAGGTGCTCTTCTGGCAGCAGGTAATGGATAATAATTTTGTACATTCCCAGAGAATAGGCATTAATTGATGATGGGTACCCAACTTAGTGGATAAAATTAATGAAAATATTTACATTAATGAAAGTGTTTATACCTCTGTAAGTGAGAAAAGAGAGGAAAAAATGGTTGGAAATTAGCTGAAAAACTAGATTCTAATTAGGAATTTTGATTTTTTGTGTGGGGTGCAATGAGCAAACTGTCCAGTAAAGGGGTCGGTTTCAGGGTTAGCCTTAAAATGCATTTTTTGTTGTTGTTTTAAAGTAGTCAGGGTTGAATCAGCTGTGAATCAAAGTACCATAAAAATGTAGGAGAGGGCTGGAGAGATAGCTCAATGGAATAAGTGCTTGTCTGGCAAGAGCAAGGTCCTGAGTTCAATTCCTGATACCACCAAAAAAAAAAAAATGTAGGAGACAAAAATGATGAGTTGTATAGTTTGCCAAAATAGGCAATCCCTTAGAAGGGCACACCGGTCAGGAAGAATGGGTTATAAAAATGCTTCTGACCAAAATTGAGTTACTTGTAAAAGAAAGGAGGAGAAGTTAATTTCTTTACTAGGAAATACTAACTACAATATAAGGAAACTAAAACCAAATAATTAGGAAGACAAATTTAGAGAAAATGACTATAATACTTTAATTGGCTAAATACCCATTTGGCCTCATTTTTAAAGCCATTGTCAGAGTTCCTTCTCTGAATAACCTGTTTTAGTCACTCACTTTTTTTGAGTTCTAATATCAGCCATAATTACCACTAATCCTTTTTCCAGCTTATTTAATCCATTACTATTCTGTCACTAATTTTTCATATTACGATAGTTACATTTTCATTGCTCCAGTCCACCAGCACAACCCCCAGGTATACATTTGTTCATTATCCATTTTACTAACAGTTGCCTGGTAAATGGCCTTGGGAGAAAGAAATTCACAGTGTGAGGAAAACAGAATTAGATATATCTGGAGGAGATAATTCTGAATCTTCTAAATAGGTGTAGGAGTTGACAAGGTGAGAGATAGAAATAAAGGTATAGAAAAAATATAATTTCTTTTAGAAGAACCAGTACACCATGACAAATTGTGCTGCTAGAAGCATGGATGCACATATACCACTGTGATATGATGTTTTCAGTTCATTAGGAAAAATACCATGAGGGGAATAGCTGGTTTGAATAGGACTTCCAATCCTAGTTTTTTGAGAAATCTCCACACTGATTTCCACAGTGGTTGTACCAGTCTGCACTCTTACCAACAGTGGCAAAGGGCTCCTTTTTCCCCATATCCCTCCAGTATTTGTTATTGGTTGACTTCTTAATGATAGCCATTCTTTCTGGGTGAGATGATCTCAGTGCTGTCTTAATTTGCATTTTTCAAATGACCAGTGGTGATGAACATTTTTCTCATGTATTTATTTGCCATTTGTATTTCTTCCTCTGAGAAATGTGTATTCATCTCATGCTCATTTTTTGATTGGGTCTTTGAATTTTGGTGGCCTACTTCTTTTTAATTCTTTATGTATTCTACATAGAAGTCCTTTTTCTGAGTGACTGTCAGTAAATGAATGCCACTAGAGATTGTACTCATAAGTGAATTAAATCAGATCCGCATGTGTAAACATCATTGTCTCAATTACTCTTCCCGCCCCATCACTGTATGAGGCTTTTGGGGAACAACTGAAATGTACAATAGATAAAGTAAAAGGGAAAGAATCTGATCAAAAGGAATGAATGAATAATTGGGATGAGAGAAAGGAGAAAAGAAAGAAAATAAAGTAAGGAGGAAATCGTGTGTATATACACAGTATAGCTAAGGATTGTACTACTAATTTCTATCAGTTTTATGAAGGGAATACTTAATGCTTAAATTTTTTTCTTTGACAAATTGTCCATTTTATATCTGGTAATCTGAGCAATTACATTGAAGACAACAATGTGCAATATAACAATCATGTTGAATACCTATCATTTATTGAAATTATATATTGTTTCTAATGTCTTATCTATTATTTTTTATTCCCTTTAAAACAAAAATTTTAAAAAAATAGAAGAAAAATTAAAAATAAGGACCAACATAGAGCTGATACAAGAGGAAATACTTGATTATATGATAAAATTGTGTTTAGTTTTGCCATACTTTCTTCTAAAGTGCCTCCACTATTTTGCATTCCCATAAGCAACTACCAAGATTTCTTCTTGTCCTGCAGTCTCATTTGTTGCCAATAGTTTGAATTTTAGACCTTTTCAGGTTATCAGTGGTTTCTCATTTCATCTGATGCAAAATTCCGTGAAGCAGATGTACTTAAGATATTCAGAAGTAATAAAGATCAACAATGTTTTTGGATCAACAATGTTTTATGAGAGATAAAATAGTACAAACACATTAAAAATGTCAATTTTATAGAACTCTGAGAAAATCCATAAATTTGATTTTGTTCTTAATGCAGTGGAAAATTATTGGAGGATTTTTAACCAGAGCATTGTCATAATCTATTTTGTGCTTTTAAAATAACTAAATTAGTTAAATAAGAGTAGAGATAAAAAAAAGGCTGAGAAAATAATCAAATAGCTTTTCCAGTAGTCCAAGTAAAACACAATATGACTGAGGCTAGTATAGTGATAACAGAGACAGAAGTGGACAAATCAGGAAATATTTTAAGGTCAAATTCACTAGTTATGCTATATGCCAATAAGCCATATATGGAGAGTTTAGTCAATTTTGGCTAATAGACTATTTTAATGGATATTAACCTTTCCACAATATCCCAAATAAGAGAAAGCTTTTGCCTATGCCCTTTTTTGCTGTTTTGGATATTAGAATGGAGCCTTGACACTGGTAGCCATCCTAACTATCCTTCATCAAGATGGAGAATAGAGTCACTCTACTGAGGATGGTACATTGATGATAAAGGAGAATATTTATTCTCACTAACATTGGTAGAGTTACCTGCAGCACTGACCTATGATTACCAAATTTAACTTCTTGTATGTGAAATTAAAGGCAAAAAACAAAAACCTTAACTTCAGCATTATATAATTGGATTTTCTGTTATTTGGAGGTAAAAACATTTTTTTTAACAGATAGCAATAGGGTGTGGCCACTATAAACCAGAGACTCAGTGCTCTCTATCTCTAGCTTCTGATTAATTTGATATTTTTAAAATCTTCCCCTATAGGGACTCGTTGGTCTCTTGCTGGCCCCAGAGAGAAAGTGGTGAGGAGATTTAGAAAATAAAGACAGCAGGCAAAAGCTCAGACCAGGAAAGCCTCTTTCCCAGATGAGCAAGAGGACCTGAACAACAATATTAGGGACATTTATTTAGACTCTTGCAAAGCTAGTATCACAAGATACAAGGTTGCCTAGTGACTAGTGACTTAAATTGTTTAGGCAGGATACTTTTCTCAAGACTGAGGCAGCTTAAAAAAAAAAAAAGACAGGTAGCTTGACTGCTTTAGGCACTGTGGCCTTGTTTTGACCTCATACATATAATCAATTTCCAGCTTCAGCCACTTTCAACTTTCCACAAATGAATAAAGCAGACCAAGTGGAATTTTACTGTTATTGTCATTTAAAATGTAAGATAATAGAGCATATCTCTGTGTACTAATGAGAGTCATCAGATCAGAAGTTGAAACTAGTGTATGGGATTTCTTATCATCAGTTATAATTTAGACATAGGAGGAAAGGGATAACTAAACCTATGGGAAGAGATAGATATTTTTCATTGTTACTCAAACAAAATTTGCATAAAATTAACCATTTTAAAGATAAACATTTCAGAGATATAGAGTACATTCATGATTTTTGAAACTACCACTTCTATCTAGTTTGAAAACATTCTTGTCAATCCTCACTGTGATCAGAATCAAAATGAATTAACATGTATCCAACTCTTAAACAAATAGAGAAAACCATGAAGTCATGAAGGAGAGCCCTCTTGCACACATGCCTGTGACAAAAACTTGGGACTAACCAGTGGGCTTTTTCACCCAAGTCTAACATTTTCCAAGATCTTTCCAAATGTGGCTAACTACATTAGTTATGAGGACACCTAGTCTGATATATAAGAACACTTGCCTAATACACAGTCATAGTTACTTTTCTCTCAGTGATAAGACAAAACGGCCAATACCCAAA